GTTTAACACTTGTTGAAATTTTTGGACAATTTACAAGTTGAAGTTAAGCAGAAGCCATTTGTTTAATACTTGTTAAAATTTGTGGACAATTTACAAGTTGAGTTAAACCGAAATCATTTGTTTAACACTTGTTGAAATTTGTGGACAATTTACAAGTTAAGTTAAACCGAAATAATTTGTTTAACACTTGTTGAAATTTGTGGACAATTTACAAGTTAAGTTAAACCAGAATCATTTGTTTAACACTTGTTGAAATTTGTGGACAATTTACAAGTTGAATTAAACCAGTATGATGTTCAACACTTGTTAAAAGTTTACAAGTTAAGTTAAACCGAAAAGATTGTCTATCCGAGGTATGTCACCCTAAGAATATTGCACAGAGAAGGAAGAATATGTTAAAGACATACAGAATATTCTAAGTATAGAATCACACAAAAGCAGTCAAAGGAAGATAGTGGTACATGCAAAAGTTGCATTAGCATTCAGCAAAGAGAAAGAAATATCGGCCATACAGATGGCTTACATTGTTTCAAAAACAAAGAAAAACAAAGTACAAAAGAAAAGACATGGAAATTAAGACTCCTCAGCATCGGCAATAGGCTCGGTTTGGACCTCAGAAGGCTGTTGAGAAGCCACCTCGGCCGCCTTTTCTACCACAAGCTCTGCATCAATTTCTTGCAAAGTTTCCTCAGCACTCTTCTCGGCAATGGTGACATCGGCTGATGTCTTCTCGGAAGCAGCATCTTTTCAGACCTCCTCATTCTTCTTATCTTGAGTCAAGTCCAGGACTTGCTCATTCTAAAGAGGGGACTTGGCCCCATCAGCATCCTTGGATTTTCTCACTAAGGCCTCATCCTCATCTTCATCCTCATCACCATCCTCAGACTCAGATTCGCCGATGTCTTGACTTGGAGGTGGAGATGGAGGGAATGGAAGAGGAATGAGGTCGGCATTTCTGAAAGGCGAGTCCTCGGGGACATTGAGCTTCTTTAGAAGAGACATCCAACTAAGGGTGAAACCCTTGTTGCATGTCTGCTTCACTTGAAGTTTATAAGCCTCCGTGACATCGGCCATGCCTTGAGCGTATGCCTTATCGTCGGCATCCTTAATTTCAACCTCTTTGGTGGCCAAGGCTTTTTGAAGCTCTTTTTCTGCTTGGGCCATCTTTTCATCAGCCTCTTTTCTTTGGGCCTCAGAGACCTTCCTGATGGCCTCGGCAGATTCAGCCTTTTCTTCGGTATCAGTTTGGGCTTTGATGGCGACCTCAGCTTGGTCTTCTAACTTCTTCATTTTTTATTGTAAGCCTTTGTTGGTTTTTTGAAGAGAAGAGAACTCCCTCTTCATATCAACCAGCTTCTGCTGATTTTCGAAAGACTAAACAAAAAAAGAGTGGGCACGCTGGATGGCCTGAAGAAAACACAGGGTAAAAGTTATTACAAAAATTTCTAAGTATGAAAAAGAAAAGAAAAAAATGCCAGATGAAAGACACTTACTTGAACAGAGCGTTGAAGCATCAACGCATAGTTTTCGTATTCGCTCAACTCGGCGTTTCGCTTCAGATCGCCTGGTAACAGTAGAGCAGTGCTGAGTGTAACGCCGACATTAATATCCTCAGCACTATCATTTACCATGACTGGCGTATCCTCTAAAGTAATTTCAGGGGCTCAGGGGGCAGCAGGCTTCTTAGATCCCGAAGTTGTAGCGGAGGATGACTTCGGCTTTTTGGATTTTGGAGATTCTGATGGTTGGGCTTCAGAGCGCCTCTTCCCAGTAGAGGGTTGAGGTTTGTCACTCTTAGCCAACTTTGAAATAGGCAAGGTGTCTTCAGACTCAACCTGAGTTACCTTAGCCTTTGGTTGAGCCTTCTTTATTCTTTTTAGCTTCGATGGAGGTTGGGTTTGTGCTGGTTGATCGTCAACAGATGATGGAATGCTGGCCAGAAGATTTTTTGCAACTGGTTTTGGGTGACCCATCTCGGCAGTAGAAACTGTTCGGCGTTGGCGGCGGCTGCGGCGTTATGATATTGGAATCAAGTATGGAGCTGAGTTTGATGGCTGATTAGCTGGATCGGAAGTTGACCCTTGATCTATCCGAGATGTGGACGCAGTCTGTGGAGTTGTAGCAGATGGTGGAGAAAGGCTTTTTTTCTTCCTCTTAGGGACGTCGGGCAAAGCAGACCTGTATGTTGTAATAAAGTTGAGGAGCAGAGGCGCCTTTCGTTTGTGAATTAGCAAGTTCAGAAGTTTTTCAAATCCTTGCTGGGATAGAAGGATTGGCGAAAATTTTTTGGTGGCTGAGGAAGAACTGCAAAGATAAAAACAGTACATACATTAGAACAAGAATATTGAACAATTTGTGCAAGAAGATAAAAAGAAACTTATGAAGGGTGGCCCTTACTAGCTCCTTCCCCCAAAACAGTTCGGCTTAAGGAATAAAGATGGAGGTCATCGTTTGGCTGAAACTCCCAATTGCCCGAGACGATGAAGTAATCGTCTCCAGCTCCCTTGTTGGAGTCTGGGAGGTCGGCTACGATTTTATATTCGGTGGATCTCGACTTGAGGTAATAGACATAGTCCGTGTCTTTTCTAAGGCGACACATGGTATAACAGTACTGAAAATCGGCAAGTGTAATCCTGGCATTCTCTTGTTTGACTAAAGCTATGGTACCAGTAATAACTCGGTAAGAATTGATGGCGAGTTGCATTGGGTTCAACTTATAGAAGTGAAGGATTTGACGGAAAAAAGGGTCAAGTGGAAACCGAAGTCCACACTCAATAAAGGCAACGACAGGGAAGGGCATGGAGGTATCTGTAGGCATGGTGGAGTCATCATCCCCAGCCAACCTCAGATTGACATCGACTGGGATTTCAAACTCTTGCCTAAAAAATTCTAGCTTGGAGGGGGTGTCTACCCGATGTTTCCACATACCCATAATATCGGGATAACTAAAGGTATTGGATTTCAGAAAGAAGATGTTTCAAAAAGGGTTATTGGGACCTCGGCAAAAAACCTAGGTTTGAGCTGGTGCAGAAATTTGTAAGGGATGTTTCAATTTTGCCCTAAATTCTGG